GCTATGGGTCAGAGCCAACTCGATGGCACTTAACAACAACAACAACAATAACAGCTAAGAACACATTTTCTGAGCCAGGCAAGGTTCCAGACCTTTACATGTTTGGACTTTGTAAGAACCTACCTAAGCAAGGAGAGCACCATGATCCCCATTCTATAGGTGAGGAATCTGAGGCAACCAGAGCCCAAGGAAAATGCCAAGGTCACAAAGCCACACTGGTAGATAGGAAACCAGGTAGATAGGAAACCAGGCTGCTGCTGTGGGGGCTCTGGCCCCTGACCACTGTGCTTTTCTCTGTTTAACTCCCTCTTTCTCTCCCCTCCCCCTTCCCTATCTCTCCTCCTTCTCCCTCCCCTTTCTCTACCCCTCCTCTCTTCCTATCTCTCTTCCCTCTCTCCCTTCCCTATTTTTCCTTTCTCATACTCACTCCCCACACCTCTCTCCAATCTTTTTCTTTCTGTCTCCCCTTGCATTTTCCTTCCCATTTTGGGCTTTCCACAGAATCTCAGATGATATGTCTCTCTCTTACTCCTCTCTCTCTTGCCTGCTTCTGATAACAGTCTAATAACCTCCATGGCCTACTTCACTTTTTTTTGCTTCAGGAATCCTCCCCAAACTTCCCAGAAGGTCTCTGGATTGCATATTGCTATCACAGGAGTAGAAAAGCAGCTCCCACCCCTCTGGCCTCTTCCGGTACCTTTTCTTCTCTCGCTCTCTCTTTTTTTTTGCCTACAGAAATCCCCTGATTGAAAACTACAGAAGAAACCTCATCCCACACAGAAGAGGACTGTTTTGAGAACCCAGCTCACCCACTAATTACAGGCTTTTCCAAGTTTCTCTGCAAACGCTCAAATTGCAGCTCAGCTTTTGTGATGAAGTGTTTGGAAACATGCTAATGGGCTGCATTTCAGAGCCTTAAATTGAGGTGCCAGTTCTTCTTCCCAACTGATCAGAAAAACCAGTTAGGGCCTAGTGGATGTGAATTCAGGAAGGTTGTCACTTTGCTTGCATCCCTGGGTGGTACAAACAGTTTGAATTCAATTACTAAATATTGAGGAGTCCTGGCCTGGTGCTGTAGGATAAAGCACTGGGCTACTACTAGTTTTAACTGCAAACTCACCAGCCATACCTCAGAAACCCTATACAGGGTCACTGTGAGTCAGAATCATCTTGATGACATTAACAACAACAACAACTAATATTAAAGTTGTTAAAGGCTTCACTTGGATCCACAATCAACACTCATGGAAACACCAGTCAAGAAATCAAATGACATATTCCATTAGGCAAATCTGTTGCGAAAGACCTATTTAAAGTTTTAAGAGCAAAGATGTCAGTTTGAAGACTAAGGTGAGCCTGACCTAAGCCATGGTTTCAGTCATCTCATATATGAAAGTTGGACAATGAATAGAATAAAAGGAAGGCTGTAGACAAATCAATGCATTGGCATTTTGGTGTTGAAGGTACTAAGAGCTGCCAGAAGAACAAACTAATCTGTCTTGGAAGAAGTATAACCAGAATGTTCCTTGGAAGTAAGGTTGGCAAGACTTTGCCTCACATACTTCGGTCATGTTTTCATGGAGAAACCAGTTCCTAGAAAAGGACATCATGTTTGGCAAAGCAGAGGGTCATCAAAAAAGAGTTAGGTCCCCAAGGAAATGGACAGATGCAGTGGCTGCAACAATGGGCTCAACATGACAATTGTGATGGTGGTACAGGACTGAGCAGGCTTTCATTCTGGTATGCAGCTTTCTGCTGTTAAGTGCCACTGAATCAGTTCCAACTCATAGTGATCCTGTATATATAGTTTCCTAGAGTCCTGGTGTGGTGCTGTAGGATCAGCACTGAATTGCAAGGTTGACAGTTCAAACCCACCAGCCACTCCTCGGAAACCCTATACAGGGTCGCTATGAGTCAGAACCGACTAGATGGCACTTAGCAACAACAATAACACTAACAGCAGTTCCTCTAATCTTGGAGCTGACCTGACCGTATACCCTAAAGGAGACATTCTTTTTCTCTGAGGTCTGAGAGGTGTAGGTTATCACAGTCTATTCCCAGAGGGTCTTTCCTCTATGGACAAACAGGTACAAGATGTGGAGGCACACACTCGAAGGGTCTTGATGCATAACATTATTGATAAATCTTTACAATGGGTCCCCAGAAACAGACATGATCAAAGAAGCAACTTTTATAGGTTACCCAAAAAATCAGTTCTGCCATCAACCAGTGATCCTCCTGTAATGAACTCAAGGGCTTGTTCCTTTAACCAGTCATGTGACCCCACATCTGTGCTGCCCAACTCCCCCTGATGAATCATAGCTTCTAGATATGACTCACTTGATTGTCTTTTATCCAATTAGAACTTTCTAACGTTTAGTTCCAGCTCGACCTGCACAAAAACCTATTTTTTTTCTCATTGTGTGGTCATTTTGACTCCGTGAATTTGGACAACTTCCAGTGCGGACCGTTTCTGCCCCTCAATAAAGCTCCATTGCTTTCACTTTAACCTGATTCTGTGATATCGCTCCATGGCAGTACTGAGATGGAAAACTCAGAACAAACTCATGGTTCATTCTTTCAAAAAAGCACGTTGTATAATATTGTGAATAGAATGCTCCTGGTAAACTCCTGGGAAGATTTTGATCTGTTTTGCTCACTGCTACAGTCCCAGCTCTTAGAAACAGTGTCTGGTACCAAGTCGGTATTCAAGACATAATTTTGAATTAATGAATAACTTTGTTTTATTTTGATGACAGTGAAAATAAACACTAAGAGCTTCACCAACTCAACAATTTTCACCTGTACCATTCAATGATCTTGATTCCATTCTTCATGGTGTACAAACTTTGTCAATACTCCCAACACCATTACAAGCTCAATGCCCCCAAACAAAAATTCCTCTTTTCCCCTCCTTCTAACCCCTAAAGAAACCCATTGTTATCATGTTGACTCCAACCTATTGAATGGACTAGAAGTGTTGGTAGGATTGCCAAGGCAGTACTGGGGTGGTGTTGGAGGATAAGCACTCGACCACAAGGTTGGCGGTTCAAACTCACCAGCTGCTCCTCAGAAACCCTATAAAGGGTCGCTATGAGTCAGAACCTTCACAGCAATTAACAACAACAGCAATCTTCATGAGGATTCCTGTTGAAGCACTGTAGGATAAGCACTGGACTGCAAGGTCAGTTTGAACCTCAAGGTCATCAGTTCAAATTCATCAGTTGCTCCTTGGAAACTCTCTATGGTTCACTATGAGTCAGAAGTGATTCAACTGCACTTAACAACAACCACCTTCATGGAAGCAGACTGCAGCTGGTGGGTTCAAACTGTTGACCTTTGGGTTAGCAGCTGAGCACTTAACCACTGCACTATGCAGATAGTACAACTTTGCTTGCTGAAAGTGAAGAGGACTTAAAACATTTACTGATGAAGATCAAAGAGCACAGCCTTCGGTATGGATTACATTTCAATGTAAAGAAAACAAAAATCCTCAGCACTGGACCAATAAACTACATTCTTATCAACGGAGAAAAGATTGAAGTTGTCGAGGACTTCATTCTTCTTGGATCAACTATTAACACTCATTCATGGAAGCAGCAGTCAAGAAATCAAACAACATATTGCATTAGGCAAATCTGCTGCACAAGACCTTTTTAAAGTGTTGAAGAGCAAAGATGTCAGCTTGAGGACAAAGGTGCACCTGACCCAAGCCATGGTATTTTCAATAACCTCATATATTCATGTAAAAGCTGTACAGTGAATAAGGAAGACAGTAGAAGAATTGATGCTTTTGAGTTATGGTGTTGGAGGAGAATATTGAAAGTGCCATGGGCTGCCAAAAGAACCAACAGATCTGTGTTGGAAGAAGTGCAGCCAGAGTGCTCCTTGGTGGTCAAGATAGCCAAACTTCGTCTGTCATACTTCGGACATATTGTCAGGAGAGACCAGTCACTGGAGAAGGACATCATGTTTGGTAAGGTGGAAGGTCATAGAAAAAGAGGAAGACCCCCAATGAGATGGACTGGCCAAGTGGCAGCATCAATGAACTCAAGTGTGGCAACATTAGTGACGTTGGCCCAGGATCAGGCAGTGTTTTGTTCTGCTTTGCATAGGGTCACTATGGGTTGGTACTGACTCTTTGGCACCTAACAACAGCAATCTTTATGGGAGGAACTCTGGTAGTGTAGTGGTTTCGAATCGGGCTGCGAACCTTAATGTCAGCACTTTGAAACTACCAGCTGTTCTGCAGGAGAAAGATGAGGCTTTCTGCTCCCGTAAAGATTTACAACCTCGGAAACCCTGTATGGGGTCACTATGAGTCGGAACCAACTCCACAGCCCACCACCATTACCAATATTTATGGGAGAAGATCACCAAGCTTTTCTTCTATGGAGCCAGTTGGTGGGTTTGAACTGCCAACCTTCAATTCACCCCTGAAAACAACAACCTGAGTTCTACCAGACAGTAACACTCAGAGCCACTACTCAAACACTATGTCCTCTGGGAAGTCTTTCAAAACCCTTCTGTCTGGGTTAGTTGTCCCTGTTTTGTCATATTTCCCCATTCAACAGGAAGCGACTTGAATCATGAACAATGTCATCATCAAAGCTAACCCAGAATGAGTACCAGGTTTTATTCCAAAGCCTGAAGTTATCCAATATTCACAACAAACCTATAAAGTAGCATTATTGTCCACATTTTATATATGAGGCTCAGAGGGATTCATATATATCTTGCTGTGGCCTTGGTAAGTACTGGCAGGGTCAAGCAGTCAAACTTCAGAACCCACATTTGTAGAAATTATGCTCTATGGCTCCGTATTCATGATCTTATTGAATCTTGCCCAAGTTCACCAACGGTAAGTGGATTCAAACCCAGCTTGTCAAACATTAGACCTGAGGTCTTAAACACGATCCTTTCTGGATGCCTTCTGTCTTTAGGCCACTAAATAGAACATCCCTCCCCTGGAGTTCATTAAGGTCTGAAAAGCTACCTACCTGTAAACACCAGGCTGGCATTTTCCAGTTCTTCCTGAGGAACTTTGAAGCTGAAGGATTCATTGTAGAAAGGATCGATCGTGCCTCTTAAGAAGGAGGTCTTCTTGGTTTTTACAAGCTTGAGTCTGTGTACCAGTTGTATTTTCACAAAGGGGTCTGAGAATTAGACACAGCGTCAGAATGTTAGAGACCTAGAAATCCAATCCATCTTTCCATTCATCCATTGAACATCCCATCCACCTTTCTTCTATCCATCCATCATTCATCCGCTCAACATTTCTTCCACTTATCCATCTAGCAGTTCACTTTATCATTTCAACATCCTTTCAGTTATACCTCTTTTATCCATCTATCTGATGATCCAACTCTGTATCCATTCTTTCATATCTCCAGTGTCCATCCATTCATCTACCTCTTTTTTGATTCATCTTCCATCCATCCTTTTTCCCCCACCCCTCTGTTTATTGACACATCTCTTCCTCTTTGCCTCCAGCCATCATTATTTTTTGAGCCACTGTCATGGGTTCATTTTAGAGATAAGGAGACTGAGGATACAAAATGAGAAATGATTTACTTAAGATCTGGCTGGTGGAGGCAGCATTTTCTGCAGATGGCTTCTATGTCCCAGAATCCACTATCATGCCAGTGGGCTCAGACACAGGAAAATAGTAATTGCCAAATTATAACTACCATTCTCTAAATTTTTCAGAAAAATTTTCTAATATTTAAA